TCAGAGTGGATCAACCAGTTTGCTGCTGACAACCAAAACCAGCTGCTCACATGCTCAAGGAGGACCATCAGCCTAACAATGGATCATTAGCACACTGATGGCTGCTTACTATTCACAGAGGGCTGAGTGATACTAGCAATCACAGCATTGTAAGAGGGGGACAGTTGAACCCGGAGGCCTCCACCCCTGTTTAACGATGGACGATTTCTTTTCACAAAGATGGCCTTTACTCCTCTCTCAAACCATCGTTCCTCTCTATCCAGGATGTGAACATCTTCATCCCTGAAAGAGTGACCGCTGGCCTGGAGATGAGTGTAGACTGCAGAATCCTGGCCTGATGATGTTGATCTTGTGTGCTGGGCCATCCTTTTGGACAGTGGCTGTTTAGTTTCCTGGATGTAAGACTGATCACAGCCCTCCTGACACTGAACAGCATACACAATATTACTCTGTTTGTGCCGGGGGACTGGATCTTTGGGATGAACCAGTCTTTGCCGTAATGTATTTTGGGGTTTAAAAGCCACTGGGACGTTATGTTTAGAAAATAAACGTCTCAGTTTCTCTGATACTCCCTCAACATACGGAATGACCACTGGTCTGGGTCTGGGTTCCTCCTTTACACCTGATGGCTGACTGGAGTCCTGTTTGGGTTTCTTCTCTGCTTTCAGGAAGGCCCAGTTAGGATATCCACATCGCTCTAGAGCCTGTTTTGTGTAGGATTTCTCCTTCTGCCTGGCTCCTGAGCTAGTGGGGACGCTGTCTGCTCTGTGATACAGAGTCCTGATGACTCCTAACTTGTGCTCCAAAGGGTGATGGGAGTCAAACTGCAAATACTGGTCTGTGTGGGTGGGTTTGCGGTACACCTTGGTTTGCAAATGTCCTCTATCAGAGACTGAGACCTCACAGTCCAAGACAGCCAACTTGCCATTTTTTACATCTTCTCGTGTGAACTTGACGTATTTATCCACAGAGTTGATATGGTCAGTAAAATGTTGGACTTCCTGAGATTTAATTTTAACCCAGGTGTCGTCAACATACCTGAACCAATGACTTGGTGGTGTCCCTGAAAAGGACGTCAAGGCTCTCTTTTCTACCTCCTCCATGTACAAGTTGGCAACAATAGGAGAAACTGGAGACCCCATAGCACACCCATGTTTCTGCC